TCTTCAGACTCTGTGTCTCCCTCTCTCTCTGCCCCTCCCCTGCTTGCACTCTGCCTCTCTTGTCTCTCTCAAAAGTAAATAAACGTTAGGGGCGCCTGGGTGGCGCAGTCGGTTAAGCGTCCGACTTCAGCCAGGTCACGATCTCGCGGTCCGGGAGTTCGAGCCCTGCGTCAGGCTCTGGGCTGATGGCTCAGAGCTTGGAGCCTGTTTCCGATTCTGTGTCTCCCTCTCTCTCTGCCCTTCCCCCGTTCATGCTCTGTCTCTCTCTGTCCCAAAAATAAATAAACGTTGAAAAAATAAATAAATAAACGTTAAAAAAAATTTTTTTTAAAGTAAGCATACATTTCTTTGGTTTGAGATATAGTACGATTTAAAACTTTAGATAAGTCTACTTGGCCTTTTAGGCAAAAATTTAGGCTTATGAAAAAATCTTTCAAATTTTGAGTAAATAATTGTTTTTAGAGAGGGTGAGAGTGACTGAGCTCGTGTGTGCGGGGAAGGTGCAGAGGGAGCGAGAATCTTAAGGAGGCCCCATGCTCAGCGTAGAGTTCAGCACAAAACTCACTCCTACGACCCTGGGATCATGACCTAAGCCGAAATCAGGAGTCAGATGCCCAACTGACTGAGCCACCCAGGCACGCTACCCCTCCCCTCCCCCCCTTTTAAAGTAGGCTTCATGCCCAGCATGGAGCCCCGTGCAGGGCTTGAACTCATGACCCTGAGATCAAGACCTGCGCTGAGATCAAGAGTTGGGCACTGAATCTATTGGGCTACCCAGGTGCCTCCATTCATATTTAAATATAAATAAAATGTGACTTTTGGCTCTGTGTTTCACTGGTGCGTTGGGGTGTTAGATCCTAGCTGTTGAAATAACACCACCTCCTTAATTCCTTCACAATTTGAGGTCTTGGTTACTGACACACTGTTCAGTCTCGTGTATAGCATTCTGGTTGTATTACGCTTTCTTTTACCATCAGGCTGAACTCTTGAGTCTGATGGCAGAACACCTGTTCAGGCCCCCAGCACATCCCTTCCCACCTGTTCTCTCACGAGGGCTTGGCTGCCACTTCTCAGAGCCAGTCCGTGCTCCCCGTCTGAGCTCTCCATTGGTGATTTCTATATACAGTGTATGTGGATATTTACTGCCAGGATTGTGTTGACTGCTTCATAGGCATGTAGGTGTATCAGTGTGTGTCAAATTTTACAATTTATGAATGTGCATTCCTACCGAATGTCAGTTATACCTCGTTAAAGCTGTTGAAAATTCGTACATAATATATACCATCAGTAGGTCATTATGAAGCCCGGTGTCTCCAGGAACCATCAGACTGTGGATTCCTCCTCACTTGGCCCACTAAGTTCCCTTCTTGGCCTGCGTCCTCTGGCCTCCCTAGTCCTTCGCTTCCGTCATCCTCTCTCCAGGCCAGAGCACTCTTTCTGGAAGAGAAGAATCTCACAATGCCACTGCCATTTCTGTAGGGCCCCAGCTCTTGTTGTGAGACCACTCCTGTGTGCCAGAAGTTCTGGCTGGCCAAAGGGGTGACACAAACCAGACACGTGGGGTCTTTGCTCTCTGCATGCTGAGTCTGCTGGGCCACAGGAATGGTGTACATGAGGGTTGGCTAAGCTCAGGGATTCCAGTGAACCGGGTGAGGTCCTCTGTTGGTGCTTCTAATAGGGCACCCTAAAGACCACAGTGGAAGCCTGATTCGACTTCCCCCTGAGCCGGGATCCGTGAGGGTGGGCCTGGATGCCTGTGTCTTTACAAGTTCTGTCTACCACTGTAGGGTTACCTAGAGGGTGAGAACCTAGCTGGAGTCCAGGGCGGGAATAAGAGGTTTGGAAGGGGGTCATGTTTGCTTCCCTGTGGGCCTCCTTGTGCTACAGAAATGGAAACGTTTTGGCCGTCAGGTAGCATTTTGCTGATGGATCCACGTATATCTGTCGAATAGCGTAGAATTTATAACATGGTATTAACGTTCTGTAATTTATCTGTTGGGTGAAAGTTATGTGCTTAAAAGTTTTGATCAGTTTTTTTTCTTCCCCCACAGAACTCAACAAAAATCCAGTGGAAGGCTTTTCAGCAGGTTTAATAGATGACAATGACCTTTACCGATGGGAAGTCCTTATCATTGGTCCCCCTGACACACTTTAGTAAGTACCATGGAACTGACACTAAAATAGCTCTCTTAATTGAAGTATAAACTGTTTTGGCAAACCGAAGTGAAATTGTTTAGATCAGATGGAGTGGCTGTGGTTAGGTGCGCTTGTTTGTATCAAGTGAGCATGTGTAGGACTCACGTGTTCTGCCTGAAACTCTAGTGGCTAAAGCCTGCTGCTTTCTTAAATAGATAATAGTTTCTGAAATGTAGATGTTTTTAATACCTGGAATAAATTTATTACAGAAAAGCTATTTTTAAGGTAAAGCCTCTTTTACATCATGTATTTTTTACTTGTTTCTCAGATACATTGGGTTAATATTGGCAGGATAGGAGAAAGAAGAGAATTCTTGACTGAAATGTTTCTGCCTCTTCCTACTGTGCCTCACCCCCAAAGGGAACCCCGTAATTTCAGAGATCAGGCTTTCCCACCCTCAGCACTTTGTCCGTTTGATTCCAGTGTTGTGTTAACCTGGGAGATTTCCTTTCAGGACACAGGTCACACATCTTCACGTGGGAGAGAACTTTCAAAGTCATCGGTTTAGTGACTCTTCAGTTGGGTCCCCCCAGAAAACTGACCAGAGCCAAGATGTGTTGACCCTGAAATGAACCAGTGTTTACCTTTTCTCACTTTATAAAAGCGATTGTTACAGCTAATCACTTTTAGTTACTCCTTATTAACAAATGTCAGTTAGAAAACAGAATGTAGTGGTATGAAAAAAATAACGGAAAAGGAGATGAGATTTCTTAAATATTTTATGGCCTACATTTTATTTTAAGATGTTTTCTTAATGTTTATTTTTGAGAGAGAGACAGAGTGTGAGCAGGGGAGGGGCAGAGAGAGAGGGAGACACAGAATCCGAAGAGGCTCCAGGCCCCGAACTGGCAGCACAGAGCCCGACGCGGGGCTCGAACCCACAGATCGTGAGATCATGACCTGAGCCGAAGTCGGACGTTCAACCGACTGAGCCACCAGGCGCCCCTTCTGTCCTACATTTTAGATTCAAAGACCACAGTCTTACTTTCTGCTCTGAATGTTTGCAGACTAACTTAAAGCTACTAATATTTAATGTTTGTTTTTTTTTTTTTAACAGCAGGTAAAAGTTTATTAGAGTATAAGATCAGAAAGAAAGAATAGTGCGAAAGCTCTCTTTACAGAGAGGGGGCATTTGAAAGTGAATGCCCATGACTGTAGGCAAGGGTCCTTGTTTTGTAAGGTTCTGGTTGTCCCGCCCCTTCCCCCTGGCTCCTCCTTGGCTTAATAGCACTAGGTGCTGGGTCATTTCCATCATGTGAGGTGTGGTCTGTGTTCACACTTAGGTCTTTTGTGAAATTCCTGAGTCCAACCTGAGGGGAGTAGGCGGGGTCTGTTACATTCTTAGGAACCTTACCCCTGGGGTGGGGAGGGTTTGCTGTTGTCACGCACTCCCAGCGTTATTCCAAAATCTGTCTTTCCCCACCCAGGACCTCAGGTCCTACCCTTTCTCTCTCTGCCTCTCTTATCGTATCTTTTTCTACCATAGTCTTCCCACCGAACCCATGACTTCTAACTGCATTAGGAATCGGGGCAATGACTGATCTTAACTCCCTCCTGCTGAAAGGAGGCATTGAGGGGCAGGTTCCGAGGTCGATCCAGAGGTCCGAGATAACGGGAGGGTGTTTGGAACATCTGGGCTAGCAGAATTTTCTTGGAGGTCTTATTTTTCTGGCATATCATCGGCTTCTACAAATGACATACATAGAGTATTAGACTAACAAGCATTAATATTCCGAACGCAATGCCTCCTAGGGAGGAGACCACACCATGGAAAGGAAAGATGCATTGTAGCCATCCCAAAAGTCCCTGACATGTCTGGTCATTTTTAAAAAAATGTAACCACAAGTTTTCCTCTCTCTTCCATATTTATTTGGATCTTGTGATATTATTGGTTAGAATAATTAAGCAAGTTAACTAGTTTTTGGTTCTCGATCCTCGAATCTTCCTTTGGCCATCCAGTTTCCACAGGAACAAACTCCACGAGGACTATTTAACTTTACCTCTCCAATATCCAGGTTACTCTAAGTTCAGACAATTATTTATCCGTCCTGGAGCTAGTAGCACCGTCGTCCCTAATTCAGTCATAATGTCCCTTTCTAGCAAGGGAGTGGGGCTCTCTGACTTTATCAAAAAAGAGGGCGGAAAAAAAAAGTCTCCCCATATGCACCCCAGGGGCTGAGAGAAAAACTTAGCCATAAGTTTTCTGGAGACGCCTCTAAGAGTTACGCGGCATTTGGATGGTTGGCCGGGGAAAGGACGGAAAAGGCCGTTGAGTGTCAAGAAGGAACTCGAGCGGTTTTCCTTCCGTTTTCCAGAGTTACCCGAGGCTCTGGGTTTCAGTGGACAGTTGGTTCAGGGGGGCCACTGTGATGAGCCCCAGGACCGATCCGCTCCCTTCAGGGACACTGGGTGTCTGAGCCCTTGCAGACTGAGGTCCCCGAGGGCATCCGGATCTCCAGTGACCGTCTCCACACAAGGGGCCTGGCTCATGGGGTTTCGACTTCGGTTGTCCCCTCTGAGAACACTTGTGTTTCCAGCGCCCTGAATGGCCTCGGATATGGCACTTGGTGCCAGGGCCTTGGGAAGTCTGGTTCGACATAGTATGTAAGGCCGAGACTAAGGCCTTAGATTTTTTTCTTAAGCCTCCTTTCCTGTTCCTTACTTTTCTCTTGATCTTGGTTGTCATATACCCAATTGGCAGCTTGTAAAAGCTCCTCCAGGGTCCCTTCCCAGCCAACAGCCAACTTTTGTAGTTTTCTCCACATATCTGGGGTCGATTGAATGAATGATGAATTTGTCCTTCAGAATCATCTCTGCCTCAGGGGTCTTAGGGGAGATAGCCTTATATTTAATGAGAGCCTCCCTTAACTTTTCCAGGAAGGCCACCAGGGTTTCATCCGGTGTCTGTATAACAGTGGCTCATTTAGTATAATTTAAAGGCTTAACCTTAGTTCTTTTTAATCCTTCCAAAGTACAGGCTTGGAAATGGCAGTACCACCATTCCCAGTGCGATTATCATAGTCCCAAGTAGGTTCTTGGGGTGGGACTGCCTGAGCTTCAGTAGGGAATTCTGAAAAGCCTTTATATACTTATCCAGATCATCAGAAAATGTACCTAGATATCCTTTTGCCCCTCTTAAATCTTAGAGCGAAAGAGGTACTTGTAGTCTTGTCATGGTGGTGCCTCCCTGGGTTTCTCCTTCCGGCGCTCCAGCTTCTTGTAGGGGAAACACGCCTGCCACGCTACGGGGAGGGCCTGGGTAAGGTGGGCAGCAGGGAGCAGAAGTGCACGTTTGAGGTCTGGGTATATGGATGGAGGACCCGAGGCAGAGGGAGGCTGAGGTGAAAGCCTTCGCTTCCTCCCTCTCTAGGTCTGCTTTGGGTACAGGCAAAGGGCCCTGAGTTGTTTACCCTCCTGATGACTGGACTTCAGAAAGGGTTGGCCTGACATCTACCTCGATTGTCTCTTAAGGCCCCCAAAACACTGAACATAGGGACTTCTCCCCACTTCCCCTCACATTTGCAGATCAAGTCCAATCGTAGGATGGCATTATAATCGGTATTTCCCTCTGGCGGCCAGGTTTCCTCCTCCAATTGGCCTTGGGGCCAAGCCTCGGGGCAAAAAGAAAATGAGTTGCTTCTTCTTCAGGGTTTGTGGATCAAAGTCATCCCAGTTTTTCAGAACGCGTCCCAAAGGGGTATTGGCCTTGGTTAGGGAATTGCCCATCTATAGGAAAAAGAGAAAAAGGCATCCCTTATAGCTGGCCAGGAGAAACCTCATCTTCTAACCCCGCATTTTGGCTGGCTACGGGATTGGCAGCCAGAAGCCCTGTCAGTCTCTCGAGCTGCTGGGAGTAGTTGCTCTTACCCAGGCTTGATCCTACTTCCGAGAGCTGACCTGGTCTTCCCTGATTTCTCCTACCTGGGACCTTGGGAGTACGGACTGTGACCACGCAAGACTCTCCTGGTTTTGGAAACGTGCACTAATTTTATTTTGACCCAACAGTAATTTACATATTGATCATCGGCCATTGTGGGGGGCTAAAAGGGCTAAAGATGAGGTCTGTTCCCCTGCCTTTGTCAGCAGTGCGCGAATAAATATGTTCCAGCCATGTGGGTGTCCATTTTTGGCATACACTGGGCTAAGTTTAGCAGAATGGCCCGTGTATCCCAGTAAAAGCCCTTTGTATAGCATGATCATCCCTCGTATGGCACAGGCGTCCATTCCTGTGCTAAATGGGCACAACAAACATGGAGCGTTTGGAGGCTGGCACCAAGGGTATCGAGGGTATCGCCGTTGGTTTCCAGTCTTTGGATCAAGGGAGGGTCAGTTTTAATCTTAACCCCGTGTTCTTTTAAAATCCGTTCATTTTAACCTTAGTCCTTCTTGACCACACATAAAATTCCTTTCCAGAGATTTCCCTTCACAAACCTTCTACAACTTTCCTTTGCATTCACATTTTGTCCCAAGCCATTTCTCTCCAGATAACCAGACAAAATTACTTTATTTTGCCTTCCAATAAAAATGTATTTCCTTTCCTTATCTTTCTTACACTTCTCCTACTTTTCTACGTACTGAGTTGCTTTCCTTATTCCCATCAGCCTTAACTACATTTAGCGGAATTTTAACTCTTAGAAACCATAGTCTCCAGTGAAAACTTGGTAACCAATTGTGAACTGTCACACCAGAATTCTTTGGATGGCAAATTCGTGAGCCACTTAAGCACAAAGCATGTCTACCAGCAGACCCAAATAGCCTTAGTTTTTCTCATCAGCCTTAGCGATGAGAAGTCAGAAGCTCAAACCTATGTTAAGTAATCAATGCTTTAGCACTCCAGTCTGTTTGGAAAAGACCTGGACGTCCAACGAATTGAATCCCATTTATCATGCAAGCAAAACTTTATAAAGTTTCAGGGTACCAAAGACTGGAAGGCATCTTAACAAT